GGGCAGAGGGAGAAGCTCAGCTGTGATGCAGACCCAACAGGAAGCCCTCAGGAAGCCCTAGAGCTCAGATATTCTCTGAAGATAACAGGAGTTGGGTGGAGAGGGCCAGGTCCTGCATCGCTGGCTAGGGGAGGTCTAAGTTAATCTGCAGGCAACTCTGTAATTATGGGGGTTTGGATAATTGCAGGCCAGGTGCTGACAGCCTATCAGTAGCCGGGGCAGCAAGTCCTCTACTATGGGGTCTAAGTGGCCATCAGTGTTCACCACAGGGAGACACTGATGACTCATGGGCAAGGAGTGGACAAGACACATTCTTGAGGTAAGAAAGGCTGGAGTCCAGAGAACTAATGAGGCTCAGTGTGTCTGGGGTGACTTGTAGCTTCCTCTGTTGTGACAGAAGGAAGAAGCATTTGGAGCAGGCACCCGCCAGTGTGGAGCTTGGTGGCGATAGGAACACACAATATTCCACCACCCTCTGTGCTCCAAAAGAGGCTTTGAGAAATGCTTTCTCTTATAGGATAGAAGCATAACTTAAAAATGTTGTGATCCCAGCACTCTGGAGGCTGAGGCAGAAGGATCACCTTGAATCTAAGACCAGCCTGGACAGCCTAAGTGAGACGTACTCTCACAAGAAAAGATGTTTAATTGGGATACTGGGAAAGAGGGCTGCAGCACACCGGGCATCTGTACCACGCATATTCTTCTATTACCTCAGCATTTCAGGTCAGGAAAGCTGAAGACAGAATTGGCCTGGATGATTTTTGTTGCTAGGACAGAATAACAGGGGGAGAGGGTCTAAAAGCATTTGGAGAAGAGGAGACAGAGCACTGCTGATGTGTGGTAGTAGAGACAAGGATGGATGTTTGTCCAAAGTCAGAGGGCCAGTGTTTGTATGTCTGTTAGAAAAGCAGTACAGCTCTCACATAGCATGTGTCAGGGTCCTGGCAGGAAAGACCCAGCATCCTTCTTCCAAGTGGGTAATTGGGGAAGAGTATAATAAAAAGAATCACTTACCAACGTGTGGACGGACAGAATATACAACAGCAGAGTCACAGTGGTGGCTCTCGCAAGGAAACAGCTTGACTGGATCTCCTGTAGCTGTGACTTCCAAGGGAGGGAACCAGCTAGCCTTGGCAAGCTGCCAGAAGGGCATCCTGGGTGTAAAAGGCTCTCTCTGGGTCTCCCCAACTTCCTGGTCTCTCTCCGTGCTCCAGAGGCTAAGGGAACCTCCTTTCAACAGAGAAGGAGGCAATGTTCAGGAAAGATTTAGAAAAGGTGCACAAATGTGCTCTTCCTAACACAGGTCACCAAGCCCAGCTGGGCATCAAACTTCTGAAAACAAGGACCAGCATTTTCTCCTGAAGTGCCACTAACTCTGTCCTCATGGGAGGCAGAGTTTACCGAGCCTGTGCATTGCATTCAGTCTCATAGTGGGGCAGAGGAGCCAACAGGGTCTGATGCATAGATACAGAGATTCTGCTGGAAAAAGACTTTCCTACAATGAAACTTTCCAAACACTGATAACAAGGAATTTCTAATCTCTGTTGTGGGCTGGACCACAGGCAGCTATGAAGCTGTGGATTCCAATACTCCAAAAGACTGCAGCAGGGACAAGGGGTCCAAGCCAAAAGCAAAGCCACCTTCCATGACTTGAAGAGCTCCCAGACTGGGTCCCTGTCACCTGGCAACTGCTGCGGAACGCGAGTGAGGGTGCTCCCTAGCGGACGGGCATCCAGCTGCGACTCAGGAACCTCCCCTCTCCCCAGCGGCGCCAGCAGGGCTCCATCCCCAGAGGGGCCCCTCTGGCTGGCCGGGGAACTCCCGGAGGGCACAGGTTGTGGTGACAGTAAGTGGGCCTCTAGCCTGCAGGTTCAGGCAGCCCCAGGAAATGCCTGCTTTGCCTCCCGCGGAGACCGGAGGTGGGACACAGATCAGGAAGGTGGCTAGTCTCCAGCCAGAGCTGGGGATTGACTCAGCAGCTGTTTGGGCGAATCACTCCCAGCTTGGAGTCCAGGAAACTTCAAGGGGAACGTATCGCCGGTATCTTTTGGCTCAAGACCATCATCTTACAGATGTGAAACGTTAGGGCCAGAAAGTGACCCGATCAACCCCGTGGCAGGTTGTTAAAGGGACCCGGGGTGTGGCTAGGGCGAGCGGTTGCCTCCTAGATTGGAACCCTCGAGGACCGTATGTGCGCACTCTTATTTGACAATCTAAAGTAAATAACCGATGCAAAACATAAATCTGACGAGCGTGCTGAAATTTTCCATATTTTTCGAGTGCAAAAATTTGATTTTGCATAGATGAAGTATTCAATTTTGGTGATGGCGCTTTGCGGATGCCCAAGGGACCTCGCACTGCTGAGGAGCAGTCAAGGCAGAGGTTTACAGGCACCCTGGCCACCAGCTTACCCAGTTTGAGCCTCAGGATTTAATCAGCTCTATAGTACCATGGGAGATGTCCCCTTTGCCTCAGAAGGGACCGACGCAGCCTGGGACTCCCAAGCACTGCAGGAGGATCAGCCGGGAGGGCCAGTTTGACAAAGCATCCGCGCACGATCCGGTTCTGCTTTGACCCGGCTGGCCCAGGCGCCAGCCGACCCGAGGACTGGGAAGGCCGGTGCGCAGCTCTGCGCACCGCACACCGCCTCCACTGTTCCGGACAGCGGGGATTGAATGGCGCGGGGTGGGCCCAGGATGCCGTTTCGCTCGAGGGCACTCAGCTCTGTGCTGGGCCATTTCCGACGCCCACGCTTTTGTGCCCACTCCCTTTCTTCCTCTCTCCACCCACGAGGGGAAGAAAACCCCAAATATAGCCGGTGGCCTAGATTTGTAATCGCTGTCTTGATGGACTTTGTTAACCCACAGTAGAGAGACCATTTTATCAACACCCGTTCAGGCCTGAAGTCAGCCGATTGTGAGCTACTTTTTGCGGAACACACCAATCAGCAACTTCACTTCCCACCCAAATAAACTGAATTATTGGGACGCTCTTCAGAGACACTAATATTTTCTCCCTTACATTTCAAGACAAAAAGTGGGGTTGGTGCTCCAAAATATATATGCTCTTAGCTTTTAGGAGTTTAACATTAATAAATTAATTAAATGCATTGAAAATCAAGGTGCTTAGATTACTTTGGAAGAACAAACATAGCACCCAGTGAGGGGAAAAGAAGAGCTGGAAAGAAGTTCTCACTGTTATTGTAAAAGAGAAGACATCCTGTCCTCGACCCAGATAAATGATTTCGCTCTCAGTAGTTCTGCAGGGAAATGTCCTGAGCTTGAGGTAGTTACAAGCAGTACCGCGCGGGTCCTGGGTGACCGTCGTTATCCGAATCGTCGCGGGTCAACACTGTGGCAGGGGCGCATTTCCGAACTCGGGGTGCTGAAGTCAAATACACTTTTTTCATCTGGTCCGGAAGGCAGGAACCCTAAGCATGGGCGAGCAAACTCTTGGAGACATTTACTTCGCCAGGAGAGTGTGTGCGGCCGCCTCCGCTGTAGAGGGCTGAGGACGCATCTCGTCCTGCTGCGCGCAGGTGCGGGGACAATGAATCCTGGCGCAGGCGGCGGCCCCGGGGGTGTCCCCTTGTGGGCGACATCCAGCCACCTGGGCAGCGCAGGGTTCGGAGTCGGAAGGAACACTCTGTCCCGGAACCACGTGCAGCGGGCATTGGCATTGGCATTGGAGGCCCGCGGGCCCCTCAGAAAGTGGGCTACAGTCATGAAAAACTTTCTAAGCACGACCGGGATGAACCAGAGCTAAGATTCCGAACTTCCTAGTTTTAAATGTCTGGAGGGTCAGTGTGCCGCCAGGCAGCACTTGCAGCGGGTGAACACTTTTGGTTACTTAGAAGACCCATTTCTCTGCCCCCGCCCTGCCGGATCCTTCTGCGGAAGACAGCGCGGGAGGGCGGCTTTGAATGGACCTGACTATTAAACAGTACAGCACAACACATTTAACCGTCACAGATTTGCTTAAAATTGACTTTTAACTCCAAAAAAAAAAAAAAAAAATGGTGGCCAAAAACGACACCCAATTATCAGTGTCACCGATTAACAAACCAAACTCTTCTAAGCGATGGGTGGATTTTGGCTTTATCATTTTATTATTTTTCAAGAATAGGGAAAGATAAAACATTTTCTCATGTCCAAGGTCTCCGACAAACTCATATCCTGATACAACTTCCTAGACGGCACTCAAACTCACATGTTGACCAGGAAACTTAAAAAAAAAAAATCAGACAGTCATCTTGCTGATACTTGTTCCCGTTCTCCTGACTCCTCCCAAACCTTTTCTCGGAAGTTTGGATGCTGCAAAATTTTCTCCAGAAACGCTTACACCATCTCCCTTAACCGGCAGGATGAAGCAAAGGACGAGGAAAAACGAGGGTGGGGGTGGGGAGCTGCCAGCGGGTTCCAAATAAGCTTCCCACTTAAACTTCCTAAATCGGTGTCTGTCCCGGAAGGAGCTCCCCTCTGAGTCTCTAGCGTGGGGTGGCCGGGTTCCGGGGTCTGCATACAGCTTATGCAGGCTCCCACCCGCTTGTCACTCTGCAAATCACGAGACCGCCTACGAAACATCTGGATACAGGCTGGCGTCCCAGCATCTGGACCACTATAGCCAAGCCTCACTGCCGGGGAGCGAGTGCGGAAATGCGCGCGGGTGCGAGAGCGCACCGCTCGGTGGGATTGGACCTCTCCCAGTTTAGGGTCACTCCAACATCCTTCCCACCATCTGCTCCTGTCCTGTCACCAGCCCCTGGCTCCGCCTCTCTGAAACCACCCCTTAGATCCTACAGCCAATCGCAACTCCCGGCCGCTTTCCACCGCCCCGAACCCTTTCCACACCCCCACGTTCCGAGAGAGGATTGGCTGTTTGGCCCTCAGCGAAGCGCATACATTTGCATGGCACTCCCGGTTTCTGGTAGGTAGAGCGGCGCGTCACTCCGGAAGGCCGGGCCCGCCCCCTCCACCTCAGTGCCCAGCTCTCTTCCTGCGCAGTCCTGCTCCGCAACCTCTGCGGGGAGCAGCCGGGGCCGGTCTCGGGACTCAGTGGTCCGGTCAGCGAGGTGTGAGCCCCGGCGATCGGCCGTGCGCACCGTCTAGAGTGACCACCGAGCAGGACTGCGGCGTTCTCGGGACCTCTCCCGAGCAGTCCCTCTGCCAGTAGTTACCATCGCCCCGACTTTCCGTCCCAGTTGCGGCTTCTCCCGGGCAACATGTCAAGAGCCGCCGCCGCTCCAGCTGCCGCCGCCACCTGGGGAAGAGCAGACGCAGAGGCGGCCGCGGGCGAGCGGGGGCAGTAAACCGAGTCACCCGGACCTCCAGCGGGCCAAGGAACGCTCTCGGTGCTCACGGCTCCGGCGGCCCGCGCTATGTGCTGAGCCATGTCCCTGGGCGCGCCCGCGGGCAGCGCATGGGGCAGTGCTTGAGCGGTAGCCGGCCCTGCCTCGATGTCCCCGGTCGGCTCCTGCCGCAGCCGCCGACGCCCCCGCCGCTGGTGAGGAGGAAGCTCGCGCTGCTCTTCGCAATGCTCTGCGTCTGGCTGTACATGGTCCTGTACTCCTGCGCCGGCTCCTGCACCGCGGCGCCCGGGCTCCTGATGCTGGGCTCCGGGTCTCGCGCCGCACACGCCTCGCCAGCCCTGGCCACAGCTCCGAATGGGACGCCCTCCAGACTGCCTTTCCGGGGGCTGCAGGCCACGGCGCTGACTGCGGGCAAGGAGATGGCAGAAGGCGCCGCGAGCCAGGAGGAGCAGAGTCCCGAGGCGCCGGACTCCCCCAGCCCCATCTCCAGCTTCTTTAGTGGGTCTGGGAGCAAGCAGCTGCCGCAGGCCATCATCATCGGCGTGAAGAAGGGCGGCACGCGGGCGCTGCTGGAGTTCCTGCGCGTGCACCCCGACGTGCGCGCCGTGGGCGCGGAGCCCCACTTCTTCGACCGCAGCTACGACAAGGGCCTCGCCTGGTACCGGTGAGTCTCACTCTATCCGGGCGGGGTTACCCAGACCTTGAGCGAGGGGAAATGGAGGGGTTCAGTTTCAGACGGACAACCGAGGCTGGGGAGGGACAGAGGAACAACTGCACGTATGCGCTGGCGGCACCTAGAATTCCGCCCCCGAGCGGTTCCCGGTGCGCCCAGCTAGGTTCTGGCTGCAACCTAGAAAAACTTCTCCCGGAGCGCTGGAGGCTCAGTGGTGCGGGGTGCCCTTGGATTAAACCCGCGGCGTCGCCTGAATAAAGCCGGGCAGCAGTTGAGAAAGAGTTTGGGGAAACGGGGCGCCCCCAGCCGTGGCGAGGTCCCACGCGAATCATTCCAGGGTATTTTATTTTATTGTATTGTATTTCTCTTGTCGGAGCCCGGGACGCTAGTAAAAGACTTCTGCGCTTCTCAGATCACAGTCTCCTCCAACTTCTAAAACAGTTTCTGCTCCCCAGATGGGAAAGGGCTGCCCGCGGCGGGAGAACAAAGGCGTTCTGCTAAAGCTGCCGAGAGTCTGTGAAGTTTTTTTGTTGGAGACCTAGTCACTGGAACCTGAAGGGGTTCAGACCGCCTCCCTCAAGAGCCACTTGGGCTAGAGAGGGACGGCTGGGCGGGTGGCTCTTGCGCCTCAGCTGGCTGCAGAACGTGGAGCGGTGCTGGTCCCTGTCGGGCAAAGCCGCGCACTGCAGCCGCCAGTCGCAGCGCGCGCAGTTTTGAAGGCTTCCCGGCGTCTGCACACCCGGCCTGCGCGGTTCTCTTTCCCGGACCTCGGTGCTGGGGGAACCAGAACGCAGGTCTCTAAGCACCCTATATACATCGGAGTGCAAAGAATATTCCCAGCCTTTGACTGAGAAGTGAGGATCGTTTCGAGGTCGCAGCTTTGAACTTCTGTTCTCAAATCATTTTCTGAGCCTTGCAAAGGTATAGCTGGCCTGGGATCGCCACCACTGCTTCCCGGGGAGTGGTGGCCTTTGGGGTGAGCACTTGGGAGGGATGTGAGATTCTTGCCTCGCCTACCGGGTCCCAGGCCCTGACCCCTACCTAGGTCACCCTTCTGGTCACCAGATCAGTCCCATGCAGCCTAAAACTTAAGTCCCCAGCGCTCTTCTATGCCCAGTTAGCTTCCGAGAGTTCTAAAAACAAAGGCAGAGAAGCGAAATGAACCCTACCCCGGGTCTCCACTCAACTTTCTGGATCTAGATGGGATGGAGAATCAAAAATACAATATCTGTTGTAGTTTGTAATCTGACCCAATGGATTAAAAACGCGCCTTCCCCAGCCTCAGCCTTCCAGAAGGCTTTGCCTTTCATGTTCTTATTATTGTCAGTAGTGCCCAAGTCTCGAGGGTTAGCCAGCCGTGACAGCAACCCTTCTCCCCGTGCCCAGACGCCATTGATTAAAAACGTGCGGGCTGTGGAATCCGACGTCTGGATTCACTGAGCGAGCTCCGAGCTGAGCCTGAGCGCTGTCATCTGTGCCGAGGGGGAGTCAGCTGCTGCTGGCGGAACCCAGAAGGGTGAAGGCGGCCCAGGGAAGGCAGGAGCTTGGCTGGCATGGGGAGGCCTCCCTAAGTGTCAGCTGTGGTCTTTGGTTATCCTGAGCACAACTGCCCACCTCACCTCCTTCTGGGGTGACAACTCCACTCCGGGGACCGAGTGGCAGGGCATAACTAGACCCTTTCCTGGCAGGACCCCCACAGATCCTGAGGAAACTCGGGATTTTGTGACATCAGAGGCGGTGGGGCACAGGTTGGGAGGAACCCGCAGGAATGGAACTGAACCCTTCCTGGCCAGCGGTTTTAAAAGCACCTGGGACGGGCTTTGGAAATCCCCACGCAGTCTCTTAGGTGGATGCCCTCCACCTGCCACCTTCTTTCTAATGGGCTCTAAAACGCAGAATGTGGCCGAGGTGTAATGTGTTCCGCGGTGCCCCTGCGGCGGGGAGCCACCTAGGGAGTGGTGGACAGATGGACCCGGCTGCCCCCGGCAGCGCAGGGCAGCAGCGGGACAGACCCAGAGAGCTCGGTCAGGGCGCACTAGACTGGACAGTCCGCGTCCCTCCGTGCCGGCTAAACCCACTAGCAGCACTGTCTGGAATGGAAGGCACAGAGCCCACGGCGGGGACACGGGAGGAGCCAAATGCTAATTTGCAAGCACCCCAAACCCTCAGACTGCTCCAACCACACGTGGCTAGATCGCAGTGTCAGTGGCTACTTTTAGGAAAAAAAGCACTTTAAATGCTAACTGCTTAATTAAAAGTCTAATTTACAACGTTCCACATATCAGAGCAAAGTGTGCAAACTGTGCAATTATTTTGAAGGCGTCCTTTTTAACTTTAAACTGAATAAGCCATGGAAACGTCCGACCCAGATAGACTGGCTTAACATCCGGTGTGTAGAATACACCCTTGGCCCAAGCTGGAGTTCACTCTGTTTGAAAAATGCATGCTGTAAGCTGAGTTCTGTGGCATTTCTTGTCGTGTGGTAAGGTCAGACAGCCAACTGGAGAAGAGTATAATAGATGCAAATCAGAAACATGACGAAGACGAGTTTTCTAAACCGGAACAGTAAAAGAGGAAGAGACCTTTATCGGCATTTAAGGAAAGGGAAAAAAGAAAGAAAGAAAAAAAAAAAAGAACTATGGCTATGGGTGATTGAGTCCGAGGGTCACCAGGTAATCTGTTGGAGAACGGGTCAGGCTGTGTCTGAACAAGTCCTTAATAGGTTTAATGGGCTGACACAGCCCTAAGAGGGACCTCAGCAGTAGCCCAGGGCCTGGGTGGATTTGCAGGACCCCTTGGAATCTGAGGGTGGCTCCTTCCACTTGTCCTGATGAGACACCTTCAGCTCTTTGAGGGGGGTCGTGGCAGGATGGAGCCTGCTGAGATGGCAGCGCAGAGCTAAACCCCACTCCCCACACCAGAGGGAGAGTCTGCTGCCCCAGAAATTGGGCTAGTGGTGCTGTCCATCTGCTGTGGAATCTGAGTTTGTTTTAGTGTGTGATTAAGATTCTTCTGGGTTTGCTCTTCCAGTTCATCATCCAGCTTTCTCCAGTTAACAAGTGTTGATGCGGACCCCACAGAGTGGCTTGGGGGGCTCTCTGGTGAAACTGGCCTTTATTTACCTCTTGGTCCCAGAGTTTAATGGAGTTCGCAGAAATTAAGGCCTACAATTCAGGAGAACTTAAGAAATGCAAAGGTGGAGAAAACATTCGATTTAACCCTCAACATTAAATATGCAATTTTAAAAGTTTCTCATTTTTATTTGCTTTAAGTTGTGGTAGGTTTTTATGCATGTTTGTGGCCTCATTTTGGGGAAAAAGTTGCTCCAATATTACGCGATTTGCAGATACTCCCATACTGATTCCTCTGTCCGTTTTTAGTTACACAAAATAAGCTGATACTTTACTGCTGTGGCCAACCTTTGAAGAAGTGTGTGTGTGTTTTAACAACCTTGGTAGCGAACACTAAATATTTTCTCAATGCGCCATGCACTGTTTTAAGTTTTACAGGATTAGCAAATTTAATCCTCATTACTGTCTTGTGCAGTAGGTGCTTTTACAGATGAGGAAGCTCGGGCACCGAGAGGTTAAGCAACTCATCCAGCCTTTCACAGCTGGGAAGTGGTTAAGCTAATGTATCAACCCAGGCAGCCCAGCTCAGGGCTCACTCTGTGCCGTGTTCCCCTCACTTAAGTGACCAGAACAAGATGTTGATCATGTGTGATGAGTTCAAAGCAGTATCTGCTTTAACAGAGTTTGAAAGTTTTCTCACTGCTCCATGAATCTCAGTGTGGATGGCCCACTTTAAAAAGGTTCAGTTTTAAAGCAGACTAGTTAACGTCCCAAATTGGCATATAACTAGATTGAAGGCCACGGTGGCAACTTTCATTTCTGTGCACAAGACAGCTGGAATCCAAGGAGTCATTAAAATGACAAAAATATCCGTCAAGTATAAAGGAGTCATTAAAATGACGAAAATATCCCTCAAGTATGAGAAAACATACAGAGTGTCCCTCCTGAGGAGGACATTTAGTCTCTGGCATCTGCTCTTTTCCAGGGCTGGGAGGTGTAAGCCATGGGGTTAAATGACATCTTCCAAAACTCCTGGAAATCACTCTCTTCATTTAAAAACAGTATCCTCAAATCAATGCAAGTAATTAACTTGTACTTATTAACCAGAAGACAATCACAGTTAACACTTTGAGCAGATTTCTTTAGAATGAGATCTAAAACCCAGTGACTTGCAGAAACTGCTCTCTTGAAAGCTAATAGCTAAACCTAGCAGTTTATCCTGCATATTTAATTTAACAAAGGCTGAGAAAACTAATCCCCCAGCCCACCGCCCTGTTTTCCTAAAACCTGATGGCCAAGACTGTTTCGGTCTCTGCTGAGGGAAATGTAAGATAAGATCTCATTGGGAGTAATTCATTTTGAAATAACTGGACTTTTTCTGTCCTAGAGTTTAGACCAAGTATGAAGCTCATTTCCAAGATGCTGGGTGAAGATCAGAAATCTACATTTATATGCAACAATTTGAAATACAAACCATCATGTTACAAAGCTGTCAAGATTTATTAGCAAGACAGTGTAGCATGTGTTGAACTCTGTTTTTAATTAGGCACCTAAATTAGACCATAAAATGGTTGATTAATCTTTTACAAGTTGAGGGGAAAATATAACATAAATTAACCTAATCATAAGTGTTTTCCCAGATGCTCTGAGTTAATAAAATAGTCAATATTTAATAGCAACCTATTTGTTTTAGATAAATAAAATATTGCAATGTAAGAAGTAAATTACACTAGTATCTGCCAAATAATATTATTGAACCCATCTCTAAAATTTTGGTTGCAGCGCAGATCTGAAAAATGTTCTTAAAAGATGTACTACTCCAATTAGGAATTAAACACTGACTAGAATAGATTTTTGCTTTTTACAATCTGGTTTTTGAAAAATTAGAATTTAATGTGTACTAGTATTTATAAAAGACAT